AAACAGACAAAAATCCTTGTTCTTAAAGAGCCTACATTCTAATTGGAATGAAGGACAACAGATAAGTACATTATGTAGAATGTTATAATGTAGTAAGTGCCAAGGAGAAAAAAAAAAAAATGAAGCAGGGAACAGGGATAGAAAATGTCAGAGTGGGGGTGGGATTGGTGGGGTGGCCAGGGGATGTCTCACCGAGTAAACATTTGAGTAAGTTTGACTGAAGTGAGAGAATGAGCCCTGTGGATATCGGGGAAGAGTGTTGCAGGTAGAGGGAACAGTAAGGGCAAATGCCCTGAAGCAGGAGCTTGCCTGGCATGTTCCAAGGACAGTAAGAAAGCCACTGTGACCAAGGTGGGGGTGAGGTCAGAGAGGTAGTGGAGACCTAGATCACTTAAGGCCTATATAGATTTTGGCTTTTACTCTGCCGAGAGTTTGGTGCAGGAGTGACATGATCTGACACATTTCACGGGATCATGCAGGTTGTGTTGAGCAGAGTCTGAAGGGAGACTGTGGTGGAAGCAGGGAGCCTAGTTGGGAGGCTGTTGCAGTATCCCAGGCAAGAAGGGATGAAGGCTCAGGCTAAGACGGTAACTGAGGATCCTAGATATGTTGTGAAGGTGGAGTCAATAGGATTTGCTGACAGCTGGGCCGTGGAGTGTGCAAGAAAGAGGAGTCAAGAATGGGGAAGATTTAGAGCAACAGGTTTGCAGGGCAATAGCACAAGCTCAGTTTTAGACAGGTTAACTTTGAGATACCTATTAAACATTCAAGTGGAGATGTTGGGTGCGCAGTTGGGTGTCAATGGAGTTCAGGGGAGAGAGTGGGGTTGGAAATAAACATTTGGGAGTTTGCAGCATGTAAACCATACTTAAAGCTATAAGAGAGCTCACAGTGGTGATAGGACAGACAAAGAACGGAGTTTTGAGACTCCATCATTTAGTGGTCTGACGTGAATTTAGAGCCAGCCCTGTTCTCCTAGGGGTAGAATGCACGCTTGATCTGGCGGTTGTAACTGTGCAATTTTGACTGGTCTGGTAACACTTTCTTTTGGGGAAGGACAGATGAAAAGTGGGGTCGGGGAGGCACATGTTCCACTACAAGGTCAACAGTGAAGCATTCTCAGAATATGGGGCAAGATTAAGAACATAATTATTAATTAATCATGTTCCGCAGAAAGAATCTACCTTCACGGTGTTTTAGCCAATACTGTTTGGCCTCAGGTAACAGACTTTAAGCTTGCTTAAATAACACAGAGAGTGAAGACACAGCTTGTCTTGCAGAGCTAGAGGACGGGTGGGCAGCTGCCGTTCTTTTCCTCTCTCTCTCCTCCATCTCTGCTGCTTTCTGCATGTGTGTCTTACTCTTCTCTCTCTCTCTGCAGACTGACTTTTTCCATCTCTCTCCCCCAGCAGTCAGATTACATGTCCCCACCACACGTAGACTGATTTGTATTCTTTCACAGTGCCAGGGGACAGAATGATGGGTTCATGTTGGGTCTGGTGTCTTTCCCTAACCCAGTCCTTCATGGCCCAAGGGGGCAGTCTCACTGTCGTACTTTAGCTGCAGAGGCCAAGTCCTCTGGGTGAGGGGCAGGTCTGAGACCAGGGGGATCAGGTGAGTAGGACACAACGCCAAAAGGTAACACTGCAGAGAGTGTTTGTAATGTGTCTTATGAGGAGAACAGGCCATCATCTAAGTCTCATCTGGTGACTACAGTGTCTCTCCAATAATCAAGGTACCTGCATTAGGTGTGTCTTTGCTGAACTGGGCTAAACAGTTGAATCCTTGGCTTTTATTGAAGGTCTCTGTGAAACAAGCTATACAAGTGTCAGCTCTGCATTATGACAAAATGGTGATGAGAACATTGTCTACTGTATCATTTGAAGTTCCTATATAATTCTTTTAGACTTTTGTTCCAGAATGTTTCTCTCTGTAAGGAATGGTAGCTGTCTTTTTGAATAAGGACCTTAAAACTTGTCAGGTTTACCTTTTGCGTGGCCTCAAGGAGGCTTCCATTAACTGTGCAGTTAGCATACATAGCTGAGCTGGGCTGGAACTTTTAAGCAAGACTAAATGAGCAGAAGGGAAATGGCCAAAGGACATATATACCTATTTGGCTAGGGATCTCAAAACTCAAATGCTCATAGTGTCCAGGCAATTAAGAAAGGTGATGTGGATAGGTTTAAGATAGTAGGTACAGACTGTTTGTACTGAGTTCAAGCATGACTTAGCTGCCTAATCACATTGCCTTTTAAAACATTAGGCTGGCCAAACAAAACAGCGCAGTAGAGCACTTTGGAGCAGGCTGCCACAGAAGCTCTCCTGCCTTCAGCTCTTCAGTACAGGGTCCCTGCATGAGATGTTTCCCGCTTAAACTCTGCTTGCCCTCCTTAGTGGGACAGGGCCTTCCCTCCCACTTGGGAGTGCCAAGAGCCCATCTAGACTTCACATCCAGAAACACATGAGTTCTTCCTGCCTAAGGCTGCCTTCTGTGTTCCTGTTTCCCGCAGGTACCCTGCCTCTTCTGAGAATGTCACTACTGGGAATGCCTGACTCCTTTAGGGGGACCTGCTGCTGACCCACAGGAGGCCAGCCCTGTCCTCAGCGAGATGGTCATGTCGAATGCAGCGTGGTGAGCCCACCATCAGGAAAAGGATGCATGCACTTTTTTATTCTTGGAGGGGGAGTGCTTTCCATTGGCTATTCATTGACAGTGGAGAGAGGGGGGTGCCCTTGGGAGGACACTCAAGTGTTCCTAGTATTAGAGAGATTTCTCTAAGATTACAGATTGGTGTGTGAGCATCTTGATTTTGTGACAGTATCTTATGAATTTGGTCCCTGGGAGTTAAGCCTCCTGTGCCCAGTCACCCCAGGGCATCTAATTACTTGCAATTCAAGGCTAAAGAGACTGTCCCCTCCCCCATGAGTGACCTGCCTTTTTCCCTGCAACACCCACCTCCCACAACCATTTCTGTTCCCAAGCCAAAAGGCCAGTGAATGGCGTTTCAAGTTCGAGAACTTAAAATTTACAGAGAATGAAGCCCAGCACAAGGCATTAAAATGGTAAACAACCATCCTGAAAAGTTCGTGTGAGGCCCTGTGCCTATAGCATTGTGTTTGGAGTGAAAATAGCAACACATTTCAGAAACTTAAGAAGAAGGAAAGAAATCTAAATTTCAATGGTTTCACATATAAGAGACTATCTTGTGAATAGTGCGTTATTCAAGGGACTAAGTTTTTCTGCACTTTAAACTCTTGACTCCACTACTTTTATAAGCATTGCTGACTCTAAGGAAAACAAAATTGAAGTCAGCCCTCCATTTGGAGATTATATTGAAGCATTTTCTGCCATAGGCATTAAGCTGAGGGGATAGAAAGGGCTTTAATTATAGACAACTGGATTTCAGTCACCCAGTGATGGTGACTTCAGACTCTGGCCTTGGTGGGAGGAGGTAGAGATGTGTGTGCTCAGCCAGCTGGTCAGTACTTGGGTGGCGGAGGGTGCGCCCAGTCAAAGAATCTGAGCCAACATGTGTCTGTGCCTTCCATGAAGGTTCAGTCTTGGCTCCATTCTACTGCTGCCTACAAGGTGCTTGCCATGGAAATTTCACTGGTGACCACAGCCTCCACCTCCGTAGAGCTTCTGATCTTGTAGGGGAAGAGAGTCAATAAACAAGGTAATTTTGGATCCAGATAGGTGCTATGAAGAGTGACTTAATAGGGAGCGACTTCTGTGTGTTGTTGAATGGGAGCTACTTAGTAAGGAAGGGCAGAGGCAACCACTCTGAAGCTGAAGGGTCAGAAGGACCCAGCCATCTAGAGTGAGGGGAGAGCCAGAGCTGGGCTCTGAGGCAGGAGATAGCTTGGCATTACAAGGAACTCCAGAAGGTCAGCATTGGCCATAGTGCAGTGAGCAAAGGGGAGGGTAGCCAAATAGGGTTGGAAAGGGAGGTAGAGGCCAGCTCCAACAGGCATGCAAAGGAGGCTTTAAGCAAGGGGGGTCGCATAACCTGACTGGTGTTTGAAAGATCTTTCTAGCTGTAGTGCTGAGAATCGAGTGTGGTGAGTAGGGGCTGGAGTCCTAGCAAGAGTCTACTGCAAATTTCAGGAAAGATAACACAAGCCAAAGAGACCCCTGCTTTTTTCCCCTTTCCTAAGAGTTAAACAGATTCAACACCTCCACCTGCCTCCTGCAGTGAACATTGCAGTGCTTGGTTAGTTAAGGAACTTATTGTTGACCTATAGGCCCAGGTGGCTGGTCAGCTAGGTTTGGGGTGGCAGCAAACAGGCAGGAGAGGAGCTGCCAGGTATGCAAAGGAGAGGCTGGAACCCATTTACCAGGAAAAGAACAACAGTTCCTGCAGGCTCCTGTTGCCTTGCTCAACTCCCTCCCAGCCTTCCCTTCCTTCCCTTAGGCCAGGAGGCATCACTATTAACCAGAACAGGAGGGCAGCTCACACAGGCCCATCAACAGCTAATAATGCATGACTAGTCACGGTGCTACATAGCCTGAGGGTGACACCAAATGATGTATGGCTTTGTTGCAATAAGGTTGACTTAACCTCAAATGGGTAAGGAGGGGGAAGATTATGTGTGTGTTTTAATTTGGATTACAGTCTGGGCCTGGGGAATATGGATAGGGAACAGGACTCACTGAGTCAGAATCCCTGAGAGGTTAGGTCCCTGGCCTGGTTTGAGGATCACTGGTCTGGTCCAACTCCCTCATGTTATAAATGGGTGATGACTTGTCCAGGGTCACCCAGAGAGTTGGTGGCAGAGCTAGAGCTGGAACCCAGGTTTCCGGAAAAGCTCCTGCCTCTTTCCATCCCATGAGGCTGCAGCTTGAGAACGAGGTGCAGGAGGGACTGCCTGGAAACAGGATCAGACCTGGGTCGAACAGTCTGACTGAACCTCTGAATGCAGCAAAGCAACGCTGAGGGACATTTTGTGTTTCAGAATAACCAGGAGGAAGAGGACCATTCTACCATGTGCTGCTGCAGTGCTGGCCACTCGCCTCTCCAGACCCCTGTCACAGCTCCCAGAAAGAACACTAAGTGTCTATGATAGAGAAAATGGAGTAAGGTAAGCAACCAAGGTGGAGGTGGCCTTGAGTGTCACACCTTCTGGATCAGCAGAGCTTTTCACACATAGATGATGCAGGCAGTAATGGGGCCTGACTCAAAGATGTCTCCCAGTGAAGACAGACCTTCCCTGGGCTCACAGGGCAATAAAGACTATCTTTCATAAACGCTTTTAAAAAACCTTTTATTTTGAAACAACTTTAGACTTACACAAAAGTTGCAAAAGTAGTACAAAGGGTTCCCGAATCCCCATCACCCCACTTCTCCAAATGTTAGCATCTTACAAAATCATAGCACAATGATCAAAATCAGCAAATTACCATTGATGTAATCAACTAGTCTACAGACCTGATTCAAGCTTCACCAAATGGCCCACTGATGGATCTTTTTCTGGTCCTGGATACAACCCAGAATCCCAATTCATTTAGTTGTCATGTGTCCTTAGTCTACTGGGGACAGTTCTTCAGTCTTCTTTGTTCATGATCTTGACACTCCGGGAAAGTACTGGCCAGTTATTTTGTAGAATGTCTTCAGTTTGGGTTTGTGTGCTATTTCCTCCTGTTTCAATTCAGGTAGGCATGTTTGGAAGGAAGACCCTGGGAGTAAGGTGACACCCTTCTCAGCACATCACATCTGGGCACATGATGTCCATGTGTATCATTACTTTGGTCACCTGGATAACTGCTCTTTTTAAATTTTACTCATGAAACCAGTTAACTAAAATGTCCTGAGATTTACTGAACTGTTTGTATGATTTAGAGAAAGCATTAAGCACAAATCAAACAGCTCTTCTTCGAGAGCTTCTGGAATTGCCTTTTCTAAGAGCATTCAGTTGGCTCTGCTGCTGCATTTTTCTCTTTTGCAGCCTGAGCAAGGAAAAAATAAAAAGTACCTTTTCTGTTATATTTGAGGGGAGAGAAATTGAGTGACAGGTTAATTCAAAGTCTCAGCAGCTGGAAAGTGGACATTTTCTATGCCAGTAGATATGTTTAGAGGAACATGCAGTTGGGATTTTAGCAGTGTTTGCTTAAGTGCATTTCCATGGGATACAGAGGCCTGGCTTGGAGATGGAGCTTCAACCACCAGAGGACACCATGTGGGAAGAGTATAACACGACCTCTCCAGCAGAGGTGGCAGGGGGCCATTGCCATCCAAGAGGAGATGGAGCTGGCTTGTTGAAGAGCTTTTGAAAATAGGTGATTTTATGTAATTTTTTTTCAGTGAGTGTCTAACAAAAATGTCAAAATCAGTCTCAAAAGAGGCTTTAGAGATTTCTGGAGATTATTTTCTATAGAGGAAAAAATAATCCTGAAGGAAGTTAAAATACTTTTACAAAGGTTTTATCCTCAAATTAAAGGAAAGTGAGGTATTAGTCAAACTTTGGCCCATTTGAGGGGAAAGAAAGATTGTCACAGGGACATTCTGAATCTTCTCCATGGATTGAGAAGTAAACTGGTTAGACTGAGGGATGTGGGGGGTGGGATGGTCAGGGACAGAGCTGAATCAGAGGGCATTAAATGTCCACTGTGTGAAGGCATCAGCAGAGGCCAGGGAATGACATCCAAGTGCAGAAGGGGGCTGGCATGGTGGGTGATCACTGTGCCTAGGATCAGACAGGAGGTCTTGATGGTGGGGAAAAACTTTGGCCTGGTCATTTCACTTGAATCTCAGTTGAAAGTGGCCTTATATTGCAGTCCCCACCTGTGAATGAATCCTGCCAGTGGTATCCTTGACAAGTGACTTTGCAGCCTCACTTTGAATATTTCCAGTGATGGGGAGGCTGGTATTTCTCACAGCAGGCCTCCTGTCTTGGACAGCTCTATCGTATAGTCCTTCCTCATATTGAACAGAAATCTCTTGTGTAAATGCTACCCTTCATTCCTAGGCCTACCTCCATATTCATACTGAACAAGTTAATCCCTTCTCCCCAGGGACACCATGCCTACCTAATACCCACCCACCTGCCTTCTCTTATTCTATCCACATGGTTTTCATTGCTTATTGTATTAATCCGTTTCTGTTGCTTATAACAAAATACCTGGAACTGGGTAATTTATAAAGAAAATGAAATTTATTGCTTACAATTTTGGAGGCTGGGAAGTTCAAAGACAAGGGAACACATTTGGTGAAGGCCTTGGTGGTGCTGACAGTGACCCAGGCCTCTCACATTGCAGAAAATGGTGGAACAGAGAGAGAAATTAACCTAATTCACTCTCCTTTTAAAGTCCTCCAAACTACACCCCTGACCACCATTTTTAATCCATTCATTATGGTATGGTCTTACAATCCAATACCTCTTCAAGGCCCCACCTTTCAATTACCACAATAGGATTTCCCACCCTCTTTACACTGTTATAGTGGGGGTCAAGTTTTTGGGGGACACTCAATTCAAGGCACTTATCTCCCATGATTTTTCCACTTCACACCCAGATAACCCTCCTGAATGATCTCCATTTGGCCTGTGCTCCTTCTTAAGATGCAGTGCCTTGAGCAGAACACCTACCACTGTTTACATGCCTCAAAACAGGAGTCACCCAGTACACACATCTCTGTCCAGATGAAAACCTCCCCAGGAGTAGCTGGATGTGGCCCCTGCCCCTGCTTCAACACCCTACAACCTGCCCTGCTTACTCGCTCTGCATGGCTCTCAGATTTTGGATTTCCAGCTTTGGCAGAAGGCTCTGGCACCCCAGGGGCAGGGGGCTTGCCAACTCTTTCCCCACCCAGGACACTACCTCCTGGATCCTGGTTACACACACGGTGTTCAGTTTTGCCAGCCCGGGTGTGACACAACACTTCAGGTAGCCAGACTCATGCAGAGTGGAGAAGGGCTCTCGTCGCCTCCATCCTAGGTTCATTCCTGTCCAGCCCAGGTTCACAGAGGCAGCCACATCACACTTGTGACTCATGGTTACCCAGACTAAAGTTTTTTTCACAGATGAGACCATATTTCTCCCAGCTGCACTGGTGCCACTGACATTTATTCCTCTTAAAACCCAGCTTGTTAGATTTAGCCCATCAAATTGACACATGGTCCCTCTCAGCAGAAAGCTGGGTTACTGATTATTGTTGCTGATTTGTGATGGGAGCAATGAAAGGGATGGAAACACAGACTGGTAAGATAGGGAAGAAGCCAGAATTAATGCCCTGGCCGGCATGGGGAGGCCTCTCAAGTGCACTCTGGCAAGCTCCTGGGTGCCAGGGCTCTGAGGTTCTTCCACGGGCCCTTGGGGAAGTGCCATATTGCACCTGTTCCACCCCATCTGATTATGCTTCCAGGTTAGGGCAGAAAACAGGAAGCTTTTGTCTCCGAATCTCACAGCCACTCCTTTGGGATTCCACTCTTCAGAAAGTGTACCAACTATCCTGTGTTTAACTTGTTCCACCTGTGAGACTGCTGTAGCTGTTGGTGTAAGAGGCTTGGTTGACCAGCAGTTTGCTGCCACTGCAGGACCCTCCTGGGCACAGGGAACTCTCCAGGGAAGGACTTGGTATTTTACATTATGTGATTTGGGATTAACCCCTCAGGGGCACTCTTAGTCCCGGTGGTCAGTGTGCCAGTCAGGATTACATCACACTAAGAGTAGGCAGAAATTCCCAGAAGTCCAGGGCTGGTGTGGCTTTGCGGACCCAGGCTCCTTGTTTCTTTCTGCTCTGTCATCCTAAGGGCAGCTGTCATGTGAGGGTCCTGTGCCACTCCTCCACCTCCAGCCTCAATCCCAGCAGGAAGAAGCAGGGCAACATGGAAGGAGGGAGGAACAGCACCTGCATCAGGAAAGCACGATGTCACAGCAATCCCTGCAGACTTCTGCTTGCACCTTTTTGGCCAGAGGTGGGTCCCGTGACCACTAGGTAGGCTGTAGTCTGGGAAGAGTTGAGCACATTGCTACCCCCAGACAAAATCCAGATTTTGTTAGTGAGGCAGATAAATGGGATGGATATTGGCTGGCAAACAGCATTGTCTGGTACAGCTGAGCTGGGCTATGGCCTAGAGCTGGTTTTGTCCCCAAAGATATTAGGGTTTTGGCAGTCAAGAGGTTCAAAAGGGAAACCTGTAGGGGAAAAAAGACTTTTTTTTCCCTCCTCTAAGCCAACTGTTTTGAACTCTGGTTGCAGGTTAGAATTACTTAGAGCACAGTGGGAGAAAAAAATCCCTGTGCCTCACCCCTGGGGATTCGAATTTAATTTGTCAGGGGTGAGGCCAGGGTTAGGAATAGTTTAAGAAATTTCCCTTTGATTTTTTAAAAATTATTTTGTGGAGAATCTCAAACATATACAAAAGTAGAAGGTAATATATTGACCTCTGGTGTACCTATCTCCTGAGCTTTCATAATGATCAGCTCATGGCCAATGTTGGATCATTTATGTCCCCACCCATTTCCCTCCCCGGATTATTTCTGAAGCAATTCCTGGGCATCATGGTATTTCGTTTGCAAATACTTTAGTATCTATCTCTAAACGATAGATCTCTTTTTAACAACATAATCACACAACTAATAAACAACATGGGAGGAGAACCTGAAAACAACTGCTCTGGACCTAGATCAACCAGCCTGTTCCCTAGGATCTCATGTACTGGAAGCACCTGAGGTGAATTAAACATGCAGATTCCTAGGGGTCACCCCTTCTTACTGAAATAGAATGTCAATGATAGGGACCTGGGAGTCTGCATTTTAACAAGCTCCCAGGTGCTTGTTGACTGAGGTTTGAGAATTGAGGTGCTAAAGTCTTTCCAGGCCCAAGGCCCCTTCAACTTAAGAAGCAGCCCCAAGCCAGGCATCTGACAGCAACTGTAGGAGCTCTGAAGTAAGAGAAGAGAAATTACAGTAAGATGAAGCAGTCCCACCAGTGGCCAGGAGAAAGATGCTAAGAAGCCAAGAGGTGCACAGTCATGCCACCTGGAGCTGCCCAGTGGTGTTCATAGCCCCAACTCACCTAACTTGTCAGGGTTCTGCCTCTTGGGGTTGAGTGTGGAGGAATGGAGCCTGTGCTCTCT